CACTTAAACAAGCTGCAACAAGAAACAAAAATACACATTAGCACAAAGCACAAAATTCTTAAATCACTCTAACATTCTATAAAGTGGTACAATGTACCTTGCTTGCATTCACACACTCAACATCCTACCATCACCATCCGAACTTGGGAGAATCTTCATTGAATACTTTTATAGAAATAATAATCAATCTAGAAGAAGTTCTCATCATTCATTCCTAAACAACACTTAAGAAAACGTCAAGCATATATACAATATAAACAACTGTACAAAGCTAAAAAACATAGAAACTATTGCAATGCACTTCAATATCTAAACATTAATCCTTGGCAACGTCGCCATTTTGTTCGAACTGCAGTGAAACGGCAAGAAGCAAAAATTTAGTTTTGAAGAAATTCCCTCCGGGATTTATATCGTCTCCACAGATATCGGGGCGAGGAAAAGAACGTCGTTCAACGGTCTCTACATTTTTAAGCTTGTGGTGCAAAATTTTGGTTGAAAGATTTTAGGCACCAAAAAGAAAGGCAGAAAAGATAAAGACTGAAAATATAAAGGAAAGACTGAATTATAAATGGAGCCTTGTTGGGATTGGATCTCACCAACTGATAACACATGCATTCTTCTAATTAAGTTATACATAACTCAAATATTCGTCTAATATCATCACGTATCACCCACAACAGAGGTTATGTTTAATGCAAAGTCGAGAGGCTAACCATATTGTCTCATTGGTGATATCTCACGCAACAAAACCAACACAGAGCATTAAGAACTGATACTCACATGAATGTTCAACCTAAATCTATGTCTAGAGTTTAGACCCAAGAGATATTACTATAACATCCATATTAAACTAATGATTTGATTCATATATAATGCTATGATTAAAATATGTACACATGATTAACCCTTTTTACATGCATTCACCTAATCTACCAAGTGTATGTGAACATCGTTCTTCATCACTATTATCACGCATCCTCGCAATACCGTTTGTCAAGCGTTATCACGATCTTTACCGTATTGATCCTACTCATGCTAGTTAATCAACACAATAAAACATAAATGATGCAAATGAATATCAAATTACAAAACCATGTCAAAAGTTTGCTCATTGATAAATGAAAATCTAAGATCAATGATTTGAAAAGAGTTTTGTCAAGAACCACAAATAAGCAATCAAAGACAATCAACAATAGAGAATCAAAACTAGTTCACAATACATAAGTTAGATAAAATACATAAGGTATCAAAAGATTACATCGAAACCCCAATAAGAGATCAAAGATCTTACCTTTTCCCTCTTATGGTTTGTATTTCTCTCTCTAAGATATGATTGAAATGAAGAGAGATACAATTTTGATCTTAAAAATATAACATATGTTTCTAAAAAGCAAGAAAAATACTTATATAGTATTTACAGAATCTGTCATGTTCACACTATGAACAACCTATTCGCCTAGCGAAGTCCCCTTTTTGGCACTTGAAGTGCCGCTGGAACATTTAAAATGCCCTTGGAAAATATCTGAGTTTGTTGCGTGAGCAATTCTTCGCACTACGAACTACCTCGCAACAAGTTCGCACAACAAACTTATGGTCCTTTAGCTACTGATTTCAAAGGTTTCCTCCTCGCTGGGACCTCGCTGCTACTTCCCCCAACGAACATTCGTTGGCTGCCCGTTACTGTTCGCCCAACGAACATTGCAGAATCTTCACATTTCTTTGGCTTTCTTGTCCAATCTTTTGTGTCTTACTCATTTTGATGTCTTATGCCTAATTGCTGCATAATAACACACACATCAAGGAATCCAAAGATATTTGCAATGTATTGAAGAATCACACAAGAACATGAATTACATCTATGAAAACATGAGAATTGAGTTGAAAAGTGCCAAGAAAGATGGTTGATTTTAAGTTAAAATTTGCTCTTAACAGCGACGTAAATAACGATTAAAAGTTATAGGAACATACAATCATCAAAATAAATCAATTAACTCTAATAAAAGTCAAATTAAGCAAACAACATATCAAAGAGAAGAATTGAAAGGAGAATATATTTAGTTAGGAGACATAAGAACCTCAAAGTATGATAGAGGCGCGATTACAATAAATCAACCTTAAGGATTAGTTCTCCATAGGTTTTCGTACAAAAGCCAAATTAAAATTGTAAACAGTGAAAAAGAAGGTTCGATAATAGTAGCACGACTGCTACTAGGTATAGGGAAGTATCAAATCTGGATTCTAACCCAACTGGGTCAAAAAACATAAAAAACCCGACCCATAACAAAATATTTCTAAAGTCTGAAACTTCAACAAATTATTTGACATTGTTTCTCTCATAATCAATTCTCGGCCTCAACACGAAACTTGTAGCTCTTTGTCTCAGCTTTCCAATGATTATTAGAACGCACAAAACATAATCTCGTAGCTCAAGTTATAGTCTGCATAGTCAACTACCATAAGAGTAAACTTCAACGTCTGAATTAGTCTTCATTTCGTCCAAGCAACTTCGAACACTTCATCTTGGCTGGAAGTTTAACTGATATTAATGAACCGATATCTACTTGGTGGTGGGACCTTATTACCTTCAAAAGAAGTAACGGTAAAGAGCATTTCAATTTTGTAGGAAATATCAAGTTTACCGTTACCCCGTTTGGTACGCTGATTGGTGTGACACACCTCTGTTTTCTCGGTTTCCTAATCTTTTCAGTGGTAGTAGGTTGAAATCTAAAATGGTGAGCAATATGAGCGCTTGGGTTAAAGATTTGTGGGTATGAGGTGATTTGGGAATCAAGGCCGATATTCTTGAGAGAATTGTTCAGACAATATTCATAATGTTATGGATTTGTTGGATAGCCAGACTTTTACCAATGATAAAAAATATGAAGTTCTTTGGATCAAGGAGAAATAAAAAGCTTTCACTGTAAGGTCATGCTACTAAAAACTTGTTAAATTCAATAACCTTCATTCTCCTGCTTCTTCCTTTGCAAACACGTGTAGACTAATTTAGGTTGCTCAGATGCCAATGAAGATTAAGGTTTTTGGTTGGAGAATTATTCTTGATAGGTTGGCTAGTAAAGATCAGCTTAAAAGAATAGGTATTTTAAGTTCTATTCATGATCTCTATTGTGTCTTCTGCTTTCTTTTCGAGGAAAATTTGTAGCATCTGTTCTTTCTATGCGGTGTTGCTACCAAAATTTGGCATGCTATCAACAAATAGGTCGGATTTGTAGTTTTTAAGGGGAAGATCTTATTTTTTATTTTTTGAGATCTTGTATCGAAATTGGGGGGATGGGGGGGGGGGGGGGTGGTTCTGTTTGGAAGCATAGACACAAAATTCTTTTCGAAAGAGAATTGTGTAATATGAACAATATAGTTTGACTTATTAAATATTTAAGCTCGAGATGATCTTTAATATAAAATACGTTAAATTCCAACTTTTGATCTTTAATATAAGATACGTTAAATTCCAACTTTAATTTTTATGATTTCTGTTCTACTTCTTTTATCTGTATAGTTTAGTTGAAATGACATTTTTTTATTATCAGAGTTTGAATACTCGTTGTGCTCTTTTAGTGAAATCTATTGCTCATAAAAAAAACATAATATAAAGGTGTATTAAGGAGTCTACTTGATGGATTTACAATAACAACATCAACAATATTAAACTTTGTTTTTTTTTCATTCAATTATTCAATACAAACGGCAATTTAATGATAATTTAGTGCATTGTGATCTATGTTTGTTATATTTATCTTTTTAGTTGTTTTTTTTGTTCAACACTCTTTTTTTTTTTTTAAATAGTTTTTTTTTTATTTTTATATATTTAGAGTATTACAAAGATGATTGACTCCATCTCCAATGTGCATCCTTCTTGTCTTAAAAAAAATCATCTCAAATTCAATTGACAATACATGTAAATGTTTTTTCTTACTCGATCATAATCCGCAATTCATTGAATAAAACATAAAGCTTAATTAAGCTTTTGATTTCTATTAGTTCACATGTTTTTTATTTTTTATTTTTGTACATTTATCTTTTTTTTTGAATAATTCTTGAATATTAAAATTCTTTTAATTTTAAAATTTATAAAAAAATTCGAAGAAAAACTTGCAAAAAATTTATAATTTAGTATTTAATTGTTATGCACTGACAGTATAAAAATATTTTACACTATTATTCAATAATAATATATGATTCTGCCATATCATATAATTATTTTAAAATTTTTAATATAATTTGGCAGGATGAATGATCATGATTTATAATATAAAAAAAATTTACACTTTCAAAATATATATATATATATATATATATATATATATATATATATATATATATATATATATATATATATATATATATATATATATATATATTTCCAATAATTCAAGGACTTTATAAAAAAACAAAAACTTAAAATGAAAATATGTCAACTTACATATATCAAAAACACAATTTAAACCAAAAAATAATCTCAAAAACAAAGTTAATATAATAATAAAATCCTGGCTTTGACTCCACGCAGTTATTTCTTATAAAATTATCATAAATTACTTGTCTTCTTCTAGAGCCACAAAGAAAAAAGCACTATCCATGCATTTCCACAATAAGATAGTAGCAATTGAGTTGTACTACATCACTTCTTATATTTTGTTTTTATTACGTATAAAAAAAAATCATACAAGAAAAATTAATGATTAATTGTAGTATTATTTTTTTTTTACTTTCCAATTAGCCAAATTAGGAAATTAGTGATTATTTTTCTACTTAAAAGAATATGAGAAAAAATAAATATATCTGCGTTTTCTTTTTTACTAGTAGTAGTAGGTGTTGGTATACTATGCTATTCTATTAAGCGTTTCTTTCTGGTTTCGGAGATTAATTACGACGAAGAATAACAATTTTCTCTAATTTATTTTATTTTTTTCTAGGTTTTTCTTTATCCCAATTCTGAACCTAATCGTTCAGAATTGTGACCTAACACCACCACCGTTGACGCCATGGATTCTCAAGTCTTGGTAGCTCTTGTTCTTTCACTTGTCGGCGGTCTCAGCACTTCCATAGGTATATACTACTTCATTTCACTTCCATCATATCGCGCATATGCATTTTTAACTTATGATTATGAAAACAACTTATGACTTATTTTCATTAACATTTTAGGAAAACAACTTATAACTTATGTATTTGAACAAGACAGAGTAAAAGAGTGAAATATTTCTTTTACATTGATGGAGTGGAACCAGAGTGAATTTAATAGAAGAATATGTAGTCAATCCCGGATAATGGCGCTGAGCGTCTGACCCCCAAAATTGGGATAGCGGGATAGTGTACAGCAGTATAGCAGGATGACCTATTTGATCATTTTTTAGATACATTACATGAATAATAATTATAAACATGCGAGGTGTAGAGGGAAGATCGAAGTGCAGAGAGAGGTGAGGTAGGAACTTGTGATTTTTCATTGCAACCGAAGAAGTGTTGAAACATCAGAGAGGTAAGGTTAGGGTGGAGTCTCATACAAATTTGATTGAAAACCCCAAAATTACCCTTAAAACGTTTTAAACTTAAGGGGTAATTTCAGTTTTTCAGAGGGGAAAAAATAGCGGGACAGAAACTGCTTCAACTGCTTCAAGTTGGTAATCGCTCCGCCACCGCTACCCGCTGTTTACCCTATAGAGGCTGCTATAGTGTTTTGCACCAGTAAGGCTCTTCCCATAATGGCCAGCCTCCGCTCTGCTATGCTTTAGCGGGATAGCGCTTCTATTGGCCGCTATTGACTACTGTCACCTTAAGCTATTGTTGTTTTAACTGTTTCTGCACTTGTACCCGTTCTAGCTCGTGGAAAGACGCGGATTTCTTTGCTTGCTTGCCAAAATATTAAGTTTTAACAGCTTATCATTAATTTTTTATTGGATTTGTTTTCATTGGTTTTTTGTGTTTGTAATTGGAATATATGTTGTCGATGTGAAACAGGTGCGCTTTTTGTAATTATCAATCCAGCTCCAAATTTGAAGATGCTTGGGCTATTACAGGTGGTTTTTCTTTTTCAATTTTTTTTTGACAAAAAAGCAGGGTGTGTTGGGTCATGTAGAATCTGTGTCCCTCTTTTTTCTCAAATGTGATTAAGTGGTATTCGATTTGGTTACTCTGGTCTATAGTCTGTTTTCTAAAACTATTGCATTCCTTGAAGGGTTTTGCCGCTGGTTTGATGCTGAGCATATCATTCTTTGATCTGGCTCATAATGCTATAAACTCACTGGGCTTCTTGAAAGGCAACCTTTGGGTAAGCTGTGTACTTGAGCAATCATAAAGTTATGTAACAACAGCATATGTTTTAAAACATGTTCTCCCATGTTAGTGTTGACTAAAATCTTCTATCTTCTCATTTGTGTAGTTTTTTGCTGGTGTTATATTCTTTGCCATTATAGCCAATTTTATCCCGGAGCCGACACTTGTTCCCACTTCAGATGTGAAGACTAAAAAGGTTTTAATGAAATCTTTTTACCAATAACTGTTACCACTGTGTTGTTGCATTTGCAATGTGGCATTCCGGCAGCTATGTTATAAACTACATTAAATACTACATAAATAAAATTTTTTGATAGATGTGATGACATTCTTGAAATTAGAAAAAAGGGGATGAAGGAGGCAAGGATATTTTGAAAAAGCATCGCCAGCAAGTTTTATTCAGTGGAATTATTACAGCTGTAGGTAGGACTGTCTGGGTACTTTTAAACCTAACATTTTCCTTTCAAAGTAGTTCTTGTTGGAACATATATTTTAAGAATAATAGGGGAATATGGAAATCAATTTTCTTTTGGTTGTTCAAGCAAATATTGAAGGGCTAAAATTTCCATGCTAATTAAACACTCGAGCATAATTAAGAACTTCAATTATTATTTTCTATATTTCCTTTTGTTCACTGTTCTTTTAGTTTATTTATATAGTTTTCTTTTTGTTCATTACACAGGCATAAGCTTACACAATTTTCCCGAAGGAATGGCAGTCTTCCTTGGATCCATGAAGGTATCCAAGAACCTATTGATGTCATATGGATCTTAAATTTTATCGTTAAAGGATTGCTTAGCTTACAGGCTGATATCTCTCTTAATGCCACTTCAATTTGATGTTTTTGACATGCTTTTGTCAATAGGGCCTTCGTGTTGGAGTCAACTTAGCATTGGCCATTGCTCTTCATAATATCCCGGAGGTATAAATTTTCTCGTTGTGAAATCTATTTTACTCTAGATACAATGGTTATGTTTTAGTGCCATTAATAATTGAGGAAAAGCACTGTAGTCCTTGATGCTTTCTTTCTCCTATATTTTATCATTCCATATTCCGGGTTTCACTTAAAAACACATATTTTCTCTACCCACATTATTATTGGAAAAACACATACTTTAAGAGGTTATATTGGTCGTATTGTAATTTCAATATTCTTCTGCTTTCTAGGGTGTTGCTGTTGCACTTCCTGTTTATTTTGCTACACAAAGGTAATAACTTTTAAAATCTCATGTTGGGTAAAGATTTTGTAACACTACAATTGAAAAGCGACTTATACAGTATTGAAGTGTTATGTTTAATTGCTGCGCTGGCTGAAATATGCGCATGAAATACATAATAGTTAGCTTAACAATGATGCATGTGAAATGAACAGGCTGATTGGGGAAAATATATTTTTCAGTTGCTCTTGGAAGGTGAAACTGCAGTTGTCATCTAATAGATTGTGTTGTGAAGGCTGGCAATATAGATGATTGCCATTTTTTTTAAAATTATTTATTCGTAGTACCATTGCCGTGGGGATCCTTCAAGTCACACGGTTTAAATATTTCGGATCCGTAATACAAAATGATGGAGAAATAGAAGGGGACGTAAACCATCGAATTCAAGCCGGGTGGATGAAATGGAGAAGATCTTCAGGAGTTTTATGTGACGCGAAGATACCACTCAAACTGAAAGGGAAAATTTTATCAGACTACAGTAAGACTTGCAATGTTGTACGGTACAGAATGTTGCGTGGTTAAGAATTAACACAAGAATAAAGTAAGTGTAGCAGAGATGTGTTGGATGTGTGGTAAGACTAGACATGATAGGATTAGAAATGAAAATATTAGAGTGTTGGGGTAGCATTTATAGCAGAGAAGATAGTGGAAAATAGACTTAGGTGGTTTGGGCATGTAGAGAGAAGACTTATAGATTCGGTAGTAAGGAGAGTAGATCAGATGGAGAAAAGTCAAACAATTAGAGGAAGAGGAAGACCTAGAAAGACTATAAGAGAAGATACTAAGAAAGATTTCAAGATTAACGATTTGAATAGAAACATAGTTCCGGATAGCACATTATGGTGAAAGTTGATCCATATAGCCGACCCCACTTAGTGAGATAAGACTTGGTTGTTGTTGTACCATTGCCATGTGGATGGTGGCTTGGTTGGTATGTGTTGGTGGCTATTATGTGTAACAAAACCTTTTCATCTATGGCCATAATGCTACTGTTTCACTGTGAAGGCCATTTTTATTTTGTTTTACTTCAACACACAAGTAATATTAGCATAAAACTGAAAAGAAACTTGAGCTTGTATTTAAATTTGAATGCTGGTACACGTACAAATAAAATACTTGCTTAAGAAAATTTTCCTAATAGAATGCAATCATGGGTGCATTTGCAAACAGTGTCATACTTGATGTTGATGTTTTGTAAAATAATAACTCCTGAACTTATTAATTTATTTTAAGTCTTTGTTTTGTTGCTATGTTAAATGAAATTATGCCAATTAATATGGATTTGAATAATATATATATATTTTATATTTCTTTGGTTGTGGATGTGTCTTAGTAAATGGCAGGCATTCAAATTGGCAACACTTTCAGGCTTTGCCGAGCCCTTGGGTGTTATAATTGTAGGTATGTCATCTGCTTTATGTTGCCTAGCACAGCATTCTTATTTCCTTAACGCCAGTGAAGGTATTTGTATCTATTTCACAATTCTTCCCATTGAATTTCCCTTTCTACTCCAGTTTAGGCTTTTATGCTTCAAGTTTGATGGTCCATCATTTTTATGACACTCGGGGCTTATTAGATATGTGCGAGTTACCAAGTTATTAATTTTATGATTTATTTTTCCCTCTGTAGCCTATCTATTCCCTAGCAGCTTAAATCCTGAAATTTTGGAAGGTCTACTTGGTTCAGGTTTGTAAATGATACAACCTCTTGATGTCACAATGGAGTTTTCAGCATTTATATTTGTATTTGTATGAATATTGTTTCTATGTTGATTACAGTTGGTGGAGTTATGGCTTTTTTGACCCTTCATGAAATGCTGCCATTGGCATTTGATTATGCTGGACAGAAACAATCTGTTAAGGCTGTATTTTTTGGGATGGCTTTCATGTCTGCAAGGTAGTAATCTCATCTCTAATAAAATTTTATTTCATTATATAATGATATTGTTTGCTTCTTTCAATGCGTCTTAGTGTATTAAACTGAGTAAATTATCGTGTATGTCAGCAACTATTAATGATGAATTTTGCATGCCGCAATGTGAGGAAACAGAAGTTTTACTGTGGAGATAGAAAGTGTTGAGATTCCCATATTAGATGAGATTTGATCTAAAAATTTGTTCATAAGTGAGAGTCGTTCCTCACCATATAAAACCCATTTTTGTAGAGATTGAATTTAATCCAATCCAAATTCTAAGATGGTATCATAGTTTATCTGTGATCCGCAGGCCACCCGCTATAGGGTGATTCGGGTCACACATTAGATGACCAGTCCTAGATGTCTGGATGGTGTGTTGAAAGTCCTACATTGGATGAAATATGGCGTGGAAACTAGTTTATAAGTGAGGGGCATCTCTCACTGTACAAACTGGTTATGTAGAGATTGAGTTAGGGTCTATTCAAATTATAATAGCCAGATTTATTTGTTTCTTGAACCTGAAAAAACAGCCGAATTTGGCACAATTTTGCCAAAATTCGAAGTCTGGGAGGGTCGACTAATTTATCCCAGAGTTTATAATAATGTCAGCTTATTCTTGCAAAAGAATTGCGACTCTAATATTTCCCTGTCAAAAGATGCCTGTATTCCCAGTTTGAGTACATACAAAGTGAACATTATTTGTGAGAAAGCAAAATAGGCAACCTTATGACTAGGAGTCTAGCCCTTAGTTGCGACCTCCTTGTCGTCAATTGGATGTCCTAAAAGACGGAGATGAAATTTCGAATAAGAATTTCAGCTGTAAAAGGTGTCGAATTTTTTAGGAAAATGGATGATATCGTTCTGTTACTTTATTTTTGTTTGTATGTCCTTCCCTAATTAATGTTGCTGGATGTGCAGCCTGTATTTTCTAAGTATCAGCTTACCAGAGGAGATAAGCTTGTAGATGGGAACAACCTCTTTTCATTTCTTAGTTCATGAGCTTCGCAGTATCATCTTGTCTTCAGATTCTATCACCAATTGCTGCAAAATTCATTCTGCAGGAGTGTCACAAATTGTCGATGACAATAACTTACAGCCATCTGGTGAGGATAGCAGTAGATTATCAATAGAGGAATACTTTCCACCTATGATTATGGTTACCCCTAAAAATGTACAAAGAAAATTACAGAATATGAATGTGCTGTGCTATCTTCAGTTTTTTAGCCCACCACCAATCTTGTATCATGTGCTATCATCAAATCAAGGTCAAACCTTGAATTGCACAGTTACTGATATCTGTTATGTTTATTTATTTCTGTCAAAGGGTATAAGAAACAGCATAAGCATTAAATGTAGGTAACTACTTCTGGCGGTGGAGAGGTCAAACCTTCAAAATATCAGTGCTTATATGACTGCTTTGGTAATAAGTTAGGTCCTTAGTTCTGCATATGGTTTGAATTTGAGTAAATGCCCAACATGATCCCTCATTTTTATTGTCCATGTGATCCTATCTGATTCAAGAATCTGCAATTTCTTATGAGTTTGTTTATTAAATAAAAAGTTTGCTCTTTTTGTTTCTATTTAAAAGCATAATAAATCAACAAAAAAAAAGCAAAAATGCCAGATAGATGAAGGGACGATCAGGTTCAAATGGCAGAAATAATGTGGAATAAAAGATTCACATGTGAACAGAAACAAAATCTATATATCTACGTTATGTCTCTCTAAGTATTAATCATAAACAACAACCAGCTTTTAAGAATTTTGTCCGAACCCATATAAAGTACAAACCGCCAAACGAGGTCCATTTGTGCCTCTTGACAAAAATTGTACTATGTGGTATTAGCCTTTATGTTTTGTAAAAAAGTATTTGAAGAGTCTAAGTTTGATTTATCTAAATAAATATTCTTTTAAAAATTCAAACCTAATGTTTTTATTAAACCAGTTAAGCTGAACCATATTTTTAGTAAATTCAGTCTGATTTATTTCCACCCTAATTGAAACTTATATAACCAAGTATATACGAGTTTGATAATTTGTTTATTCATGCTAATTATGTGGTGTAATTTAAGATCTGAAAAAACGACTTATGCCATGATTAACACTAGGTGCATTCTCTTTTAACTTTAACTATAAATTTTGGGTTTAAACTCAAATCTGAGCATACATCAATATTAATTTTTTTTTAGAGAAAACTTTGCTGCTAAAAAATATTCAATTTCTAAAAAACACTGGGTGTGTTATAGATCAATGGATTGTTTGCTTCTAAAAAAAGTATGTATTTATTTTCATATTGGTGTATTTGTCTTGTTAGTAGTATTTAATCTAATTTACAAGGATCTTGAATATGTGCCAGATTTTTGCACAAGGGTTGAGTATCCCTATATAGTCCCATAGTCAATTTTACCCTTATATAATTTGCATTGAATATATATGCATGTGGTTTCATGATCAGAGTTGATATATAAGTGGACAAAATAGTCCCACATGGACAGAAAATGGAAGCATAATGCATATTTCTCTAGGTTTTAATTTCATGTTTCCCTTTATTTATCTCTTTCTAATAGTGCTACCAATTACTTATCTTTCACTTAATAAATGAATTATAAAATTTAGATAAATTAATTATTTAATAATTTTTTTTTATGTATAACAGCTACGGAGTGTATGGTAGTTAATATATTGTTGCTAGTATATTTTTCAATGGAAAAAAAGAAAAAGAAAAAGTGGTTATGAAGTACAGTAAGAACAAGGTTGAATCACATCTAGTGTTAAAAGTGAAGGTGACAGTGACAGATATATGGTGTGAATGAGGGAGGATATTATATATGACAGATTGACGTTACACTGTAATCCATATGATAACAAGAAAAGAATATCTCATTATTATTAGTTATCGTTTTCACCAACACTGTGTGTAATGTTAAATCTGAAAAATAAATACACACTAGAGTACATAGATAGAAACCCTGGTAACAGTAATAGAAGAAGGTGACAGAAAAAGATGAAAAATGGAGTATAGGAGACAGAGAACGTGGAGTCCCGTTTATTTTGGTTGGGATTGATGAGAGATAAAAAATTGAGTGAGTGACTCCATTAAACAATAATAATGTCTTGTACTTACTTTGATATGACATTTCAAACAAGCTTTTTTTTTTTTATTTCTATACTTCTTATAAACTTGCCATTAATATCCAATGGGTACCTTGCAATTTCCAGCCGTTAATTCAATATATATATTTGATATGTCCATCATGGTGGACATAACTAAAGAGAAAAGAGATGAATCATAAAGCTCATGATGAATCATCATGACAGAGTTTCAAACACCTCTTTGATCCAAGAAACTTCATTTTGTTTTTTTACTAGTACTACTAACTTTTGAAACTTGTTACTATGATTCTATTTAAAAAAAAATTAATATTGATTTTTTAAATTTATTGAATAATTAATATAATTTTTTATTATATCGTTCAGATATAATTATTATTTAATTAATTTTAAAAAAATAATTTTTTTCATATATAAGATCAAGGTAGTACCAAATTATTAAAAGAGCTTTTAATTTAAGGTTTATAAATGCACGTGAGTTTCTATGGAGATGGAATTAAGTATAAGTACAATGTTACTACCACTAGTGTGTACCTTAATTAATAGAAACATCATTTTTCCTATAGTTTTTTTGTTACATCATATCATTGAACCCTACCTAGCTAGTATGGGTTAGAAGGGTAAGAAATTTTTTGTCTTTCCATTTTTAACCATGAAAGTGAATGAGATAGGTTGAGGCTAGAGCTACCATTGCATGAATATCATAACCTTCTTAAAGAAAAATGACACATTAGATTCTCTCATTACTTGTTTCTCTCTTTCTCTCTTTACTCTTTCTTGATTATATGTATTTTTAATAAATAGAGATGATAAAATTAAGGGAGACATAAAGTAAGGAGAGAAAAAACTAGAAATAAAAATAATGATCAATACTAAAAAAATGAGATGTTGATGAATATTAGAGAATTAAAAGTGTTCATTCTTAAAGGAAGTTATTTATTTAGCAAGCATCTTAATAAAACATTTATAACGTAAATATTTATTTATTTTAATCATATTAGCTGATTAGATATACAATATATCTATGAATATTACTATGAAATAATTTTTTTAATATATATAAGCTTAGTATAACAACTTAATAAAATTAACTAAAAATAATTTAATTAAGAATTTTAAAAACCATTGATTTATAAATATCATTATTAGTACTATAATAATGATATTTAATGAGCTCAATTAATTTATAAAGTTAGTCTCAAACAAGTGTTATTTAATGAGCTCAAATAAATTGTAAATTCACTAATTCGAGCTTAGTACTATATTATATATAAGCAAATTAATTAAAGATTTACATTTTTATTTAATTTATTTAACAAAAGTTTGCATTTAAGGCATATAAGTACTTGAGAGTTTTGAGAGAGGAAATCCAAAAATTGCCACAACATTATAAATGCAAAATTGCAAATACAAAGACAAAAGGAAATTAATAAAAGAAGACAAAATAAATTATAGTCCTATAGTAGTCATAGTCAACAATATAATTAGTGCAAAAGATATGAATCCTCTCCATCCAGACCTGTCTTGTCTTTATACCAAAAAACCTCAAAAACTATGACTGAAAAGATTCATTTTCTTGCTCAATTTCAGAGCCATCTTGATCATCAATTCCATAAGCTTTATGTCCATTCCCAAATGCCTTTATATGATCTTTAAGTGACCTTTTGTGTTTGAAATCTGACCCACAACAACAATACCAAAGCTTACCACAGTTTTTCTCATGAGTTCTCCAATCACCTCTCACTGCAAATGCTTTGCAACACTTTCTACACATGAAGGGTTTTATTCCATGCTTTCTCTTGTAATGTGTCTGAAGTGTTCTGAAATCTTTTAGCGGTTTTGCTCTTGGATGATCAATGTTGTTCTTGCACCCTGAGGCACAACAATAACATGGGAGTCTTAACATGGCTGTTGGTTGTGTTCCTCTAAGAGATTCCGGTCCTTTTCTATATTGTGATCCATGTCCCCACATATGCATCTGAATTTTTTTTTAAAACATCAAATATTAGAAGAAAAGATTAAATATAAGACGAAAAAATAAATTTGACCTCAAATTTTTGCATGATAGAATCGACAAAATCACATAATTTTAATAAAACGTAATTTTACGATGCCATAGTGATTTTGATAAACTCACCAGCAATTCAAATATATATTAAAGTTTCGTTTTATAAAAAATGTCAAGAGAAGAAGAAATATTACAAATAGCAATACTCAAACCCTAAATCGAAAAATAAAACATAAATATAAATATTTTTTTTATCAAATAGCCCAGTGACTAAAATTTCATCATTTAAAGATGAATATGTAAAATATCACAAGTTTCAATCCTTTCAGTAAGAAATTCAAATCTACATCTCTTCCAGTCAGATATCTCTATGCAGTTAGATATCTCTGCACAACTGCTTAACGTAATAAATATAAATAGATTTTATCATTACAAGATTTTCATTGTTGATTAGAATTTTTAGTAGTGAAATGAAAAAGGGAAATAGGGAAGAAGGAATGAAAGCAACACTCACTAACTTACACAAATAAATTTTTAGTACTATCTATAATGTCCAAAACATGCAATGTATGAAATGACATTTACCTAGTCTTATATCATATTGCATGTAATTTTCTTATCATGTCTAAGATGACATATAATCTTCAAGTCTTGTCCTTTTCAACGTGTTTCAATTATTTCTTAGTCCCTATGGTGTATAGGATTAAAGAAAAAAGTGACAATATATGTAGGACACCCTAATATAAAGAAGTTATTCAAAGAACCCAACAACAGAATATTGTACAGCTATTTATGTATTTTTTTTTTATAAATATGAAAATGAAACATTAAATTCATTCCATGCGTGATGTACTCATGTTTGAAAATTAATTCATTCTGTCTCATTTTTATGCCTTCCCGTGATGATGTTAACATTAACACTGTTCTTTAAATTAACATTAACATTATATATATGTTTATAAACTAATATTAATTAATAAGCCCTAGCTATCAATTTTCTATCTTATACAAAACAAAAATACCAATTTTTGAAAAAACAGTTAAGAAAAACCCTAAATTAAATTTCATGAATATACTTGAAAAATTAAAGTCATACTATACAACAAAAGATTAAGCCACAGAATGTATAAAAATGAGTCTTTTCTTTTTCAGAAAATTTTCTCAAAAGTAATTAAGATCTGGGAAAGTAAAGGGGTATGAGAAAAAAGAGAAAAGAAAAAACATCTTTTTTCTGAGAAAAGAAAATTATCATTGATAATCATAGTGCCACCATATCTTCAATTCATGTCATAATAATGTTTTCATAAAATAAATAAAATTTTATATTAATTAATTATGATGATTCCAGTATTATTTTGTCTTGATTTTCAAGAGTATATATGAATTTGAAAAAATTGAAAATAAATATTTATATATACCTGCATGTTATTGTATCTGTTGAAGGTTTTGAAACAAAGAGGACATGAAAACTGTGTAGGACCAATAAGAATCTGAGCAGGGGTAGGGATCCAATACTGACCCCTATTAATTTTACTCGGTGGACACTCAGAAGCAACAGTTACAACTTTTTCATCATCATCTTCTTTCTCTGAAACCAAATCAGATGAAGTTATAGTTGGAAGCCCTAGATGTAAAGCAACAGTAACAGCATCATGAACATCATCTAGAGAATTTGATGATATACTTAGTTGCTCTTTCTCTTTCATGTTCATCATCTCCATGGAACTAAAGGAAGATTCAAGAAGATCTTCATGTTTTGTAGGGTTTAGGTTAAGCAAAGGAAGAGCTTCTCTAGGTGGAGATGGAGATGAAAAGGATATGTTGTTTTGATTGTAACTAGATGGAAAATTATAGAATGGAGGGTTATTTAGGTCAAAATAATAACCATTGAAGTTGTTGGAGAAGTAGGGTTGAGAATTCATGATGATGAGAGGTGAGAAAGGAAATAAAGATAATATGATATGATGATGGAGGAAAAGGGTTAGGTTATTATAGAGTAAGGAAAAAAAGTGGAGAGAGAGAGAAAGTTAAGAGAGATAGAGAGAGAGATAAATTTGAGAGTTTTAAAAAAATAATATAATGGTGTAGAAATCCAATGTTGGTAAAGCTAACTTAATAAAGTAAAAAAAAAAAAGGGACAAGAAATCACTTGTGAAGTGTGACTTAACAATGGAGGAAAAAAACTTGTATGGGGAAAAGTCATTGAATTGATTTGGTCTAATAGAGAAGGAGATAGAGGATGAGATTATCTTGGGACTTGAAAGAAGGATTGTATGAACAGTGTGGAAAAAAGGTAAATAAAAAAATGAATTTGGTCACAATTGTGTTTACCTACCCATTATGGTTGGAAATAAGAGAAAAACACAAAATCTTGTAATTGGAGTTGAAATTTTGAAGACTATATGTTCCCTTAAAACTATACTATCAATTCTCTTTCACACGAGGGGTTGAATTTCATAAACTAGCTATGCTTCTAGCCTCATCAGTGTAGAGACAATGGAATTCTAAAATTATTACTACTTTTTTATAAATAAAATTAGTGTACTTTATGAATAATTTAATTATATTATGGCAATAAATATATATAATCACATGGATCTATAGTCTAATTAAGGGTTACATTTGAGTTACACAACTTATGTGTTAAAGCATTGATACTATGAACCAAATCAATCACTTGGTAAAGTTGATGAGGCAATTTAAATCAATTTAATTTTTTCTGATCAAAACTAAATCAAAATATTTTAATTTTAAAATTTATTTTATTTTATTTTATCCTACATTAATATTTTTATTTTATTTTATTTTAATAATGTATATTTACCGAAACAATTGATTCATGTATTTTTTAGTCATTATGTGCTCTCATTTTTTTTTCTCATTATAATTATGAAATATAAATTTTATAATATTTTAAAAGGTTGTTTGTTTTAGATTTTTTTGAAATAATTAATTTTAAAATAATTAATTTTAATGATTTAACTAAACTAAATAATCTCTTTCTTCATTAACTTGATTTGGTTCGAATTATATGAGAAAAAAGTTCAAAAATCAAATTAATAATAAATGATTCTTTTGTTTCAATCTACATCTTCTTGAACAAACAAACTTTTAATTATATTTTTCAAGTCAAATTTACAAGACTTCAATAGTCTTCCATTTATATGAGACGTCATAATCGGTAGTTGATTGGATACATTTTAATCTATTTGAATATCTTTTGTTGTAGTATCTTATCTAAAATTCTTTTCCTTCTTATTATATTTCAACAAAGAAGTGAATACTTTCATGTTTATTTAGGTGATGAATATAATCCCAGTGTTCATTATGTTTTTATTTTATTTTTATAAAGATGTCATGTAAGAAGAAATTGGTTCTTTTGCAAGTTAAGTGGGAAAATGTCTGTGTAAAACCAAAAGGGAAGGAGGTTTAGGTTTGAAGGATATTATGCATGTTAATATTACTTTTCTTAGTAAGTGGAAATGAATAATTTTTTAGGATTCACCTTTGCATTGGAGAGACATTTGCAAGGAAAGATAAAAGTGAGTTTGGTCCCCCTTTGGGAAGTTGGGAAAAGGGATCTTTGAAAGATGTATCATTGGTGGAAAATTGTTTGCTTCTTAGGTCTCTACTAAATTTGGTGTCTGACTGGTTTGCCTCTTCTTGTATGAGGATGGTTGGGGACAGTCAAAAGACTAGGTTCTGGCATGATATCTGGGTGGAGATTATCCCTTTGTGTGTTTATTTTGAGAGACTTTTCCTGCTCTATGAGCATAAGTCTTAAGTGGTGGGTTCCTTAGGTGTTTAGGAATGAGATGTTTGAATTTGGAGCTTTAGGTGGAGACGGTTTTTTCTTATTTAGGAGGAATACCTATTTGAAGTTTTTATTGTCTTTATCACGGGTATAGTTAGAAGTGATCGAGCTGATGCTTGGGTTTGGAAGTCAGACCCAACTAGGGGCTTTTTGGATGGTTTGACTTTTGACAACATGTTGGCTCTAACTTGACGTATTCCTTTATATTTCCTTTGCCTTGATACTTCATGGGAATCAAGTTATGAAGAAGAGTACTTGTTTTCGCCTTATCACTTTTTGCAAAGCGCTTTTTAATCTCAGCAAGAAAATCTTTGGCATTTAATATCTCTTTCGAGATAGTACCCATAAAGACCTGAAGAATGTCACACTTAATGATCATGAGACTCATGTGATTAGAGCGTTCCCACTTCTCATAATATTTCCTCTGTTTAAAGGTACTATATTCCGCAAGAGAAAATGGTTTCTTTATCCTTAATGCAAGTTCAAGAGCAATGCGACCAAGAATAATTTTCATGTTCTCCTTCCACTATTTGAAATTTGGCTTATTAAGGACTGAACCCAAATTCAAATTAGCAGATATCGAAACAATTATAGCTGAAAATATAAAAAAAAATAGACACTATAAATATACTCACATAGAAGGAAAAACTGAATCATCATTATTTCCAAATAATGGCATAACTCATCTCAAGATACCTAGTGCATCATCAATATCGAGTCTCTGGACACTAATATTAACTTCTAGTGGTACTCTTGTTGTAATGGTCAAACGTTGATGACAAAACATGTCAAATAATAAACCCTTTTTTGCATTGATTTATCATTCATATGTGAAACCTTATAATTATCACATGTTTACCATCATAGGTGTGTATGAAATCCAACCAAACATTAACTGTCCTTTAGGCCACTTGATACTTACATGGATAAGCACATACACAAAAGAAAAAACAGTTAACATTTTGTAGGCATAACCTGAACAAAATTGTACCAAAGTTAATGAATGAAACAACTAAGAGGCATGACCATACAAACTAGTACGACATGCTCGTGTTCTAATCCATGTCTGAGTTTGTTATGTGAAGCACAAAACAAAAACACAGTTCTGAATTTTACAAAAAAATAAAATAAAAAGCACAAAAAAGAAAATACTTTCCAAAAAAAGGACATTGAAATAGTCTGGGTGACGATATAAGCATCACAGGCCGTGACGATCATCACCCACTAAGGACTAGCAGGGGATTATCCATTATCTGGCGATGATAGTCATCATTCAGAAATGGGTACTCGTCATTCATCACTAACGGTCGTGGCGGGGATGGGGTACCCGTCAACCACGCCGAGGGTCATCAGCAAAAATTGCCCCCGTAAATGAGCTTTGAAGCGTGACGGTCAGCTCGTCACCAAGGGTGACGACCGTCATACTCCCTAAGACAACGATTTTTTGCTAAAAACAACAAAAAGTTAAAAAAAATTAAAATAAAAAACGGTTAAGTTTGATTCAACATCCAACACGAATTTTATGAAGACATCATCAAATAAGACCAAAACATGAATTACAACATATTAACATTAATTTTTATAAAAATTAGAAGAACAAAGTAAATCCCAATTTTAGAACCCTTATTTATAAAATCCCAAAAATCAAATTGAACCAGACATGGGTGGTTCTGATACCACTTGTTATATATGTTCATTACCGAATTTATCTCTACCCATATAGAGATCAAGAACATAATTCTAATCTAAATCCGAGTTCATATTATATGAACTCATATCCTTAAAACCCATACCCGAATACAATATGATAATGAAAGCGGAAGCGTACATAAGTTTTCCATTAAAATCATTGAAGGTTTGAGGGTATGTGATCTTTCGATTTGTAGAGTGCCTTATGGTTTCTTGATTTCTTCTGACGGGGATGAAGAAAGAATACATAATAAACCGTATTGATTGCTCTTCTACAAATTGGGACCATAATCCAAATAAATAAATCCCTTAGGGCTACTACTTAGTTTTCAATATTTTAATTTGGCTCATCATTAAATTAGAATATTGACTTATGGTATCCACACAATAACCTTTTATGACATATGCACCCTTAGCCACAGACTTAATATCAATTCAACCATTTTAGTTTTTATCTAATTAAATAATGACACTAATACATCTAATATTATATTTGTAATCCAAAATTCTAACATTCTCTCACTGGTCACATATATAGCTTTACACACGTGTTAGACTTTATGAGCTCAAAATTTTCCATTATATACTTCAAGCACATCCAAATAATCTCGTCCATTAGTTATGTCAGTACATTGAACCAAAGTGATTGTTGTTGTATCAATCATAGCTAAGCCCATCAATGATTAATAATAATGACATAAGTAAATGACATAAATTCATCATGAAATGTGTCATGAAAATCACAAGAATGTGACATGTACATGTTGATTTTCAATTGGTCCTACTTTACTTTAGTAAGATCATTCAATAACCTTATTGTACAAAGTATAAATAGACGGGTATCAAACTTTATAAATTAGATAAAATATTCAAAACTAGAGTATGAATACATAAACCAAACATAGAACACAAAATTCATAAATGACTAACTCTCGCTAAACTAAAGATTCATCAAACCGCAAAACACCCATGTGAGAATTGTGCTCATGAAAGACCTTAGGTGGAAGACCTTTTGTAAGAAGATCTTCTATCTTGGAGTTTTTTCCTAAGTGTTTTATGAAAATTTATCCACTTTGTACCCTTTTCTTAAAAACTAGGAACTTGATGTCAATATGTTTTGAATTAGTCAAGCTCCAATTATTATTGGTATAAAGGACAACTGATTTATCGTCACATTATAACTTAAGTCGTCTTTCAATTCCTTCTACAATTCGTAACCTATTGACAAGGTTCTTAAACCAAACTCCATTATTGGATGCTTCAAAACATGCTATAAATTTAGCTTCCATGGTGGATGAAGCAATAAGAGTTTGCTTTACACTCTGCTAAGAAAATGCACCATCAGCTAACATATAGATATAACCTGAAGTGGATCTTTTACTATCTTGGTATCAAATAAAATTAGATTCAGAATATCCA